GGGGGTAAATAGGGATGGAGCAGAAAACAATATATTTTGCCAGTCTATCTGAAGTTTTACTGCACTCTTAAGGAATGGATTTGTTATCAATGGTATGGAATTGAATTTGTAGGAGAAATAAAAGCTCTTTCCAGATTCTGAGATTTTATTTCCAGTGGGAGGATGGGAGTCAACAAGTACATGAAAAATTTATTTTATCTGGAATGCTACATAATAGATTTTAAAATCTGGGCATCTCAATCCTCCACTTTTTGGATTATGGCCATTTTTAGCATGTGACTCTTGATTTCTCTCTTGATTTCTTGTTCCTGCTTATTATTAATTTAGCTATGTACTATTTTCTTTGTTTATAGAAAATGCTTCCTGGGAGGGAACCTGAATATCAACAGGGTTCATTGCCAGGTGTGAAATGCCACACCACCATCAACCTGTGCCCAGGAAACAAACAGTACAGTATCTTTGAGGGCCATGTACAACTGTATCAATATTTGCCATGTCGCCCCACTCTTACGTCTCAGGAAGTGGACTTGTCCATGGAAGTTCACTTTATTTATTTATTTATGCATTTATTTAAAATATTTTCACCTGCCTTTTTCCTTAAAAAGGGATCTAAGGTCAAAGGAAGTAGCAGGGATGATCCAAAAGATTACTTTTCTGGCAAGATGGGCATCTCTGCAGGAGGGATTATATGCAGGGAAGGTGGGTAACCTGGTGCCTCAGAAAGTGAATTGAGAGTGGTTCTTTTCCCATCATTATTAACAATAAGATTTGTTTGATGCTCTCATCTGTATGTTTTTCCTCTTCTTAAGAAGCTTGTGAATGGCTGGTATATTTTGCTGCATTGCAAAGCCTTCTAGCTCTACAATTCTGAGATGATAATGATGAAACTCAAGGGACCTTCATCATAACTTGATAAAGTTGTATATCTGTATCCAGGAACACAATAAGATTCTTACATTTAAGAGCTGCTAAAATGGCATATTTCCTGTGTTCCCTTGCAAATCTGAAAACTATTGTCACCAGGCTTTCTATTTTCCCTTACTGAAGGAGGGGAAGATCTGTGCACTGAAATAAGATCGTCCTTTGAAATATGCAATTCAGGGAACAAATCAGTAAATATTTAGAGGGTTAAAGTAATCATGTCAGTTTCAGATGCTGGAGAATTGACTCCTCTTGCTCTGAAAATTGGGCCATCTCCCTTTATTCTCCAAGAATTCAATTTCAGTTCTGCTGTCCAGCCTGCCAAAGTTTTTATAGACTGTTGGTGTTCAGTCCCCAACTGCAAGGTTGACTAGCAGTATTTGCTAGGCCAAATAGTTTCTCCGACAGATCCCTAGCTTGTATTTGAAGAAGATTAATAGCAGCAGCCCATTCTTGACAGAGTTGTTTTATTTGTTCAGCTACCTCACATGTTAAATCCAAATTGCACTGAGGCCCTTTCACTGAATTCTTCCTCATGATAGGACACTCAGCTCCACCCACTAGACCTTTCTTCTGCAAGCATTTTTTTTGCTCTGAAAATTGAGTCTAATGATGCTTTTTTTGTTCCTGTGGATTCCTGATTTTATCTTAAACTTAGTTTCAATCAGTCCCCTTTTTTGTTTAACTATAAGGTTTTTGCTGTTGAGTCTCAGGAGATCAGGAAAAAGCAACCATTTTCTTTTGAGTGGTCACAGTTCTGCAGGCCACAATCCTGCCTTCCTAAAAACATTTCCCCAAAAAATCCTGTTGTGTAGCTCCGCTGGCACAATATTGCTGGCAGTAACAGGTTGCTGCCATTTAAAGAGTTCCCACTTCAATTTTGGGTTGTGCTAGACCTCCTCTCAGGGGACATGGTGGCGCTGCGGGTTAAACCACAGAAGCCTCTGTGCTGCAGGGTCAGAAGACCAGTAGTCAGAAGACCGAATCCATGTGACGGAGTGAGCTCCCATCGCTTGTCCCAGCTCCTGTCAACCTAGCAGTTCAAAACCATGTAAAATGCGAGTAGATAAATAGGTACCATCGTGGTGGGAAGGTAACAGCATTCTGTGTCTAGTTGCGCTGGCCACGTGGCCATGGAAGATTATCTTCGGACAAACGCTGGCTCTATGCTTTGGAAACCAAGACCTTATCTCATGTATAATTTGTGCATGATTCAAAACCAAAGCAGGACTTCTGTAATTAGAAGCAATGTGCCACTGCTTGTGATATTACTCTTGTTGTGCTGGTGGAAAGTAAGTGGTATGTACCTATGAAATGTATTGCAATATATGTAGGAAATAAATATTTATACGGCAGATTTTCATTGCTGGGTCCGCTACTTGTTTTTGTTTCAAAAGTGGTTTCCCACTGTCCCTAACTGTTAAGCATACTTGCTGGAAGTGATAAGAGTTGCAGTCTAAGCCACTTTGAGGGTGCCAGCCTGGGGAATACTGTTCTAGGCACATGTAACATTGAAGGTTTGCATGGTTTGCTATGCATACACTGGCAAACATATGTGCCACCATGTAATCTGTGAAAAAATGTGAGAAAAAAGCAGGGGGAGAGGGAGCAAGTGTTGGCACTAGAGAAACAGTCAAAAATCCTTACAAAGATTTGTGCATATGAAACTTTTGTCAGGGGAACAGATCTGCTCAGGAAAGGTCTCAGAAGCCATGTGGCATCTTGGAATGGGAATCCATGTGTCTTCATGGAGAAGTAGTTTGGAATTTAGAACTGTTTACAAGGCTAAACACATTCTGGGATGGTAGAAAGGAAGAGAAGGGACGAAGGTGATTTAGGAGGCTGTTATCCCACCTACCCCACCACTTTCCCCCATTCCTAACCAACTTTTCAGAGCTTCTTTTCCATATTAGGAATGGCTGATACAACTCGGTGAGTTGGAGCCCCCAGCTGTGGAGCCAAGGGCTGATTAAATCCCCCCTGTGCCTCCTGGGAGAGGGGCCAACTGAAGTCACCTTAGTGGATGTAGCTAATGTGATGATGCACCTTGACACCTGTGCAGTTGTGGGCAAGTTGCAGGATCCCAGAGTCCTACCCCAAAGTGAGATTCTGTATACAGTATCTGAGTATTAAGCACCTCAAAAACCTGGAGGGAATGACTTGATAATGTATAATTAGTATTATGTTAAACATGTATATAATGATGCATGTAGTTCTGTTCTTAGCCCATGGTGACTTGATAATGTATAATTAGTATTATGTAGTTCTGTTCTTAGCCCATGATTGGTTCTTATTCCTCTTCTAAGGTAAGCAGTGGGCACAGATTTCTTCAAAGGAACTTTAATGTTTCAAGTGTTTCTGCATGTAACCATCATGAGTCCACAGAGAGTGTGCAATTTGTTTACAGAAAATCCAACTAATACATGTCCAAAGCCATGAACACTTCTAGTTTCATGAATTGGTGACATAATAGGTTCCTCTCTCAGTTATTAAGCTGATTCACTGACCTTGGGATAGTCACAGTCTCTCACTTTAACCCACCGCATGAGGTGGTAGCAACCATGAGGATGCACCTAGTAGATCATTCTGAGCTTCTTGGAAGGAGAGTAGAATTCATCTGTAGTATGATTTCTGTCCTATCATAGACTTGATATAATTGTTGGTTGTTGTGTATTACATTCTCTATTGTTTTGTTGCATGCACTCATTTACAGTTTGATCAACTTTATTGTTAGCCTCTTTTGAACATTTATGCAGAAAGGTGGGATAACAAATGCTTTCAGTAAAGATTGCTTTGGTGCTAATTATCCTGGCACTGAGCAAGTACTTGCTCAACACATACACCTGTACACCAAATGATAGTTCCAAGCTGCAAACATGGTTGTTTCTAAGCTAAAGCTTCCTTTGATCAACAGGGAGATAAACATGCAAATAAAAAAAATGAATTAATGTCATGGAATGATCAGAGAGAGATTGAAAACTTTCTCCATCTAAAAATAGAGGTATATTTCATGAGGAATTGATTTCCTTTGTTTCTTTCAAACGACAAGGTGCCAGCTTGAAAGACACTTGGGGGGAAAAAGGTTGTACTGCAAGTGAAAATAAGTGGGAGCACCAGCTCCTTGAAGAGATGTTGTTTTAAGGATTATTCAATGTTTACTGAATGTTTCGAAAATATTAAATTGAGCAGGTGCTATCTATTATCAGAAATTACAGTCATATAACATTTTACTCCCCTTCATGGATTGCTGCCTTGTTGTGGCAAAGGGGCTTGAGTAACTCAGAGAAGCTATGGGCTATGCCGTGCAAGGCCATCCAAGACGGACAGGACATAGTGGAGAGTTCCTCAAGCCACTCCAGTATCTTTGCCAAGAACGCCCCATGATCAGAAACAAAAGGCTAAAAGATATGACGCTGGAAGATGGGCCCTTCAGGTCAAAAGGCGTCCAACATGCTACTGAGGAAGAGCGGAGGACAAGTACAAGTAGCTCCAGAGCTAATGAAGTGGGGGACCTTAAAAAGGAATTAGGCACAGCAGGAATTTTTAGCAAGGGGAGCTCATGGAAGAGCAAGCCGTGATCTAGATAGCCATGTAGGACACTGTGAGAAATCTGCACAAACCAGAAATTCAAGAGAATATTTGAAAAAGGTGAACAATTAAAAAATGTGTTTATTAAGAAAATACTTTACACATGCAAAGCAATGTGTATAAAATGCAGTAGAAAAAATGTCTAAAAAGTGACACAATATTTTAGATTTTGTTTTTGTTGTGCGTTAGAGAAATATGTACACAGATGAGTACGTTCTAGAAATATTTGTACAAGAATATATATACATTTGCATGTGAGAAGGGGAGAAAAAAGGCTTGTAATACAATACAAAACTAGGAAGAGAGAAGAATTGCAGGTACAGTTCTGAGAAATGCCAGAAAAATAATGCTAACATGGTGTTCAGATCCTTAAATTGGGTATAATAGCTTCTGCAAAGTGTTGGAGAAAGAAGCATGTGGGTGCAACAGGAAAGATGCAATAAAAGTGGGCTTGTCAATATCTCATGGTTTTGTTTTTCTCTTCACTACAGACAGGCTTAATTGCTGATGCCCGGCTGAAAGACCTGACACCATCAATGCCCATTATTTTCATCAAAGCCATCCCTGTTGACAAACAAGATGTCCGCAATGTGTACCCATGTCCTGTGTACAAAACCCGCCAACGGGGCCCAACGTATGTCTGGACCTTTAATCTGAAGACTAAAGCAAAGCCTTCCAAGTGGGTTTTGGCAGGGGTGGCACTCCTCCTGCAGATTTAGACTCTACCGTACAACTTATTTTCCTAACAGACTTGTCAGAAAAGACTCTTTGTCTTAGAATTTATTTTTTGTAGAGTGGATTAATGCCTAATGTGCTGATTCACATAATGTGTGTACATGATTTGAAGAGTGAGGAGGCATCAAGTGTTGATTTACATCTGTGAGCAAGCCATATCACACCACTTTTGGAGCTTAGTAGATGTGCACACTGACCATCAGATAAAATTTGAGATATCTTATGTATAGTAGGAATGCAATATAACGGCAACATAAACAATTAAATTTTAACGTAGGCAGAAAAAGCATAACTCCCACTTTGTTCAGATTTAAATGGAGGTGGGCAAAGTGTGGTGCTCTAAATATTGTTGGACTGCAGTTCCCAGCATTCCTCAACATCGGCTTTGCTGGCTAGAGTTGATGAGAGTTACAGTCCAAAAACATCTGCAGGGTCACATTTTAGCTATACAGTACCTGTTTTTAATCTTCTTAGAAAATTTGAGGAAATGAAGAGCGATTGCTTAAAATCAAAAGTTACGAAAGAAGCATCAAATGAGCTCCATGGGGACAGAATTCCAATAGATGAGGCATCATCCATCAAGCATCCCTCTTCCGTGGTGCCACACAGGATATGTCACTTGGGGAGGGACAGCCTATCAAGCCAACGTGGTGTAGAGGACAGAGGGTTGGATCCTGGGGTCAAATCCCTGCTTGCCCATGGAAACTCATTGGAGAATGGCAATGGCGAACTCCTTGAACATTACACGTCCCTTGAAAACCCTACTGAGTTTTAGTTAGCCCTAATAGGGTTTCGAGGTGCATGAGATGTTCAAGCGGCAGTTTATCATTGTCACTCCATTTCCAGAACCCTCTCCCCATGAGGTTCACTTAGCACCTCTCTTGTCATCCATTGCAATCAGGCGAAGGCTTTTTCTTTCCTCCTGCATTTAAGCATCACCTCAAACAGTTCTCCCACTGAAACCTGTTCACAGATTAAGCTGCAAGTCAATGTGGGAACTGCTGTCAAGTATATATGTAATTGCACTCTTGAGAAATATGTATTCTGAAATCATAGATGTTACAAAATTGGGGCACATTTTATGAGAAAATATTGTTGTAGAAGTATGCAAGGCAACCGCTGCTTTGTCTTGGAAGCAAAGGGTGTAAGATTGATCTAAAGATGCTGCAGAACAATGAAATTTTAGAGGGAGGGAACGGAATAACAACTTTGAGGAGAAATCACATCATGGGGTGATTTTCCACAGTACCAATAAGGGAACTTCCCTCTACCTCAATGGAGTCAGCCATTTTCATTGTAAAAGGACCCATTGGGTTGTCTCCCTACATCTCCTGCCTGAGACAGAGAGAGGATTTATTCTACTTCAGCTACTCTGGAAAAATGCGGATCTTGCCCAGCAAAGCAATTTAAAGATTTTCCCTTGCATCCTACGCAACATCTTGAGGTATAAAAGAGCAAAGTCTGACGCCTTCCTCTACAGGTTGTTCGTTTACAGAAGATCACACCCTGCAAATGCTGAGGAGATGTGAATTTTCACAGAGCCATTAAACAAGGTGAAAACCATTGTGAGAGAAGTAAACTAAACAACCTAGAATGGTGCCAGTCACTTAATAAAATTGTGTTTGTGCAACATTGTCTTGTAATTGTCATCTTCCTCCACTTTAGCAGTTTTAGTGTGATATAAACCAGTGTGATCAACAGCCCATGCTCCCTTGCAGGGCTGGAGAGGCAGATATCCACATAAATTAGCTGTGTCCCCTCATACTTTTAATATTAAATCCTGTGTATTCAAGAAACTGGGTTTATGCACATGAGAAAGTTTCCTTTACAGACCAGCACGGTGTGTTTATGCTAAGTTGTCGAATATGTGGATGTAGTTAACCTTCAGACTAGGCTAGACATCAAATCTAGTTTCCAATTAAATGTCTTCATAGACCAGTGGTGATGCCATTTGGTGCACTATCTTGAACTGAAACAACTTGGCTGCTTTCTTAACAAGAGTACCCACTGAGTAGCAAGATGTCTCAGAAAGGACTGTGGCCATGGGAGTAGATCTTGGTACCCCTAGTGCTCTGGTGAAAAATTTGTGTTAGACAGATTCCAATTTGTAATGTTTGAAAAAGCCCACACTGGAGCCCCACAGAGAATCTGAAGAAGGAGATAGTCTTTATACAGTTGTATTAGTGTTGTCACTAATGTATTTATTAAAGAACAGAACAGAAAGATAAAGGAACAGAAATAAAAAAACGCACATACACACACACACTGCAACCTAGCCAGATACAATTGTTGTCTTTCAAGCTAAACTGAATTTCCAGGTAGAGCCTTAGTGGAACAAAGGGAAAGCAATAGGGTTTGTTTTGGCTCCCTCCTGTATACATGAAAAAGACAGGCTGTAACCCAATATCTGATTGCAGCTCCATTTGAGGAGTACAGGCCTGTTAAGTTGGCTAATAGTAGATGTAATAGAAAACAGGATTAACTGTCTTAAACAAAGCTAGAGCTTATGTTTAGGTGTAATCTTAAGTGAGAAAGTCAGTGGAAGCCAAAGGACCACCTGGGACCTGATTATGAAAGAAACAGGTTAAGAGAGACTTCCATCTCCTTCCAACCTACTAGGAATCACCTGGCTTCTATTATTTCTAGTAAAAGAACCCTGTGCTTTGTTTCTGTGCATGGATCACAGGCAAGTAGCCATCAATAATATAAGGGCCCTTGTCAGGACCAAAGATAACCATAATTTCTGTTAACACAGAGGACTTGTAAATACCAAGGAAGAGATACTGCACCAGCTCTGCTAGACACATTATTGTGATTTATTTATTTATTTGATTTTTATCCCGCCTATCTGGACCAACGGTCCACTCTGGGCGGCTGATATACTTCATATGCAGGAAACACTTATAATCAGACACCAGTGATGCCCAGGAATATCCAGCATGAGACTTACAGCTGAGAGACATCATAGACAGTAAAGAAGCCCTATATTAGCTATGCCTGTAAATATTAGGGCAGATACAAAAACAGAGATAATAACAGATTTGAGCAGTCACACAGTGTCCTCTGTTTATAAACTGTCTAATACAGCCTTTCACTTTAAACCCCCTTGACAATTTTTAAAGTAAAATATATAAATATATTATACTTGGAGTAGTGTCTGAGGCTATACACTTGGTGGTAACAACAGAGAAGCAGTACTCAAAGCGGTAGATACCTCCCAACTAGACTGTATTCATGATAACAAAATCCCCCCCATTTTTCAGTAATAGAAGGTGGCAAAATAGATATAACCTGCAGTTAACATTTGCTGATGAGCTGATGAGTTTATAGACCAACAGTGCACGGTCAGTCTGTACCCCACTCCAAATACATATCACTAGTCCAATTTGCAGAAGTTCAGCACAACATTCCCCTTCAAGGATTGCTGCCTTGTCGTGGTGAAGGGGCTTGAGTAATTCAGAGAAACTATGGGCTATGCCATGCAAGGACACCTAAGACGGACAGTGGAGAGTTCTGACTAAACGCAATCCATCTGGAGCAGGAACTGGCAATGCCACTCCAGTATCTTTGCCAAGAAAACTCCATGGACAGAAACAAAAGGCTAAAAGATATGACACTGGAAGAGGAGCCCCTCAGGTCAGATGGCATCCAACATGCTACTGAGGAAGAGCGGAGGACAAGTATGAGTAGTTTCAGAGCTACTGAAATGGTTGGGCCAAAGCCGAAAGGATGCTCAGCTGCAGACGTGCCTGGAAGTGAAAGGAAAGTCTGATGCTGCAAAGAAAAATACTGCATAGGAACCTGGAATGTAAGATCTATGAACTTTGGTAAACTGGATGTGGTCAAACAGGAGATGGCAAGAATAAACATTGACATCCTGGGCGTCAGTGAACTAAAATGGATGGAATTTAAGATCTATGAACCTTGGTAAACTGGATGTGGTCAAACAGGAGATGGCAAGAATAAACATTGACATCCTGGGCGTCAGTGAACTAAAATGGACGGAATTGGCAAATTGAATTCAGATGATGATTGTCATATCTACTATTGTGGGCAAGAATCCCGTAGAAGAAGTGGAGTAGCCCTCATAGTCAACAAAAAAGTGGGAAAAGCTGTAATGGGATACAATCTCAAAAATGATAGAATGATTTCAATACGAATCCAAGGCAGACCTTTCAACATCACAGTCATCCATGTTTATACACCAATCACTGATGCTGATGAGGCTGAAAGTGACCAGTTCTATGAAGACTTACAACACCTTCTAGAACTGACACCAAAGAAAGATGTTCTTCTCATTATAGGGGATTG